CACTATTAAATAATGGTTTAAAATGAGAGAAGATCAAAACAAATGTTCATTTGAGCGATGAAGTGTTTATTTTTTTCCCAAATCATTCATTAATTCTTATCCCACACTTGTCTGTTGTCTTTTCAACTTTATTTCAAATTTGCAGTAAGTTCCGTCTTTTTAGACTTTAATTTTTTTATTATTTCTTTTTTGCTAACACTTTATTTTGATAGTCCATTTGAGTATTAGTTGACTGTCTGTTTAATATCTGTTAATATTGCTCCTTCAACAGACATTTAACTGACTATAAGAAACTTTGCAAGTATTTTGTGAACTTACACTAACCCCAGCCCTAACCACCACCTAACAGTCTACTTATAATCTAATAAAAATTAGTTGCAATGTAACTTAAATTCAACAAACGGACCATCAAAATAATTTGTGAGTTATATATATATATTTTTTGCACTGATTTGGACTGATTTGGACTGATATATATATACATAAATAGAACAGAGCAAAGATGAGTGAAATAAACAACACTTTTTGGTTTTCTAGAGAGTCTTACAACATTCAGGTACAGAAATTGAACAATAAAACATAAAACAACATGATCATCATTAAGACAATTCCATCCACCTATTTTTATGTGCATTTCGGAGATTTGAAAATGCACATAACACATATGCGCATGACTGAGTAGGATAAACCTTTTATTCATATAAGAAAAGATGTGCATAACCTACCTGCCCACTTTTACCGAAAAAATTCCAGTATGCGCGATAAAGTTTTGTGATTTTGTTGTGAGATCATTTGATGATAAAAAAATGTCTGTGAATGGATAAACTTGCAAGCTGAGCACATTGTAAAGCATCTAAAAACGCCTTAACCATTTCAGTATTAGTCTTATTCAGTTATTAATTACCTCCAGAGCTGTCAAGAGCATCTGTGCTCCGCGTTTAATGCATTTAACGCCACCACTTGTTCATTGTGTGTCGGCATTGTTTTCTGAGGTGCAGGTCATTTATTAAATAAGGAAAAGATTTACGCAGCTTCCCCTACCTCAATAAATTTCAGTTTTACTTTTGATTTTTGGTGCCTGTTAATCAGGAATTTACAATTTTGTTTGCTTTGACTCGTTGGATGTGATATCTTTTATGTGATAATCCAGTTTTGCACATAAATTTATTTAGCATCTTTGGATGGAAAAATGGCTATTGTATAAATAGTTAAAAATATTAATATCTTCAATAAAAGATATTAATCTTCAATAAAAATGTAATATTGAGATGTGACTATTGTGGATAAACACAGTGCGATATCAATGCTCAATCAATATATGGTGGAGCCCTAATTAACAACAACATAACGAATGTAAAAAAAATGAAAGTATCATTATTTAGGTCAACAAAACCTCTTCTGCAAGTTATGTTCGCAAGAGCTCTAATACCATATCTGCTGAAGACCTTTTCAATTTTTTAAACATGTTTTAAGTTTTTAAAAAGTGTAACAGTCGCACTTTTTTTTTTTTTACAGTAATTTATTCTGTTGGCCATGAGGGTTTTGATTAGGGATGTCCCAATCAGGTTTTTTCATTTGATTTTGAATTTCTACTGATACCAAAACCCAATTCGATACTTCTATAATATATAAAAAAATTATAAAGAAGAGTGAAAAAACAGATTCAGGATGTTCCTTATTGTATATTTATTTCACCTTATTTGAACATTAAACATCTCTGTTAACAAACAGAGCACTTCTGTGAGGTAACTTGAACAATCAAATAATAAATAACATCTTTTTTGACTTTCGCACTTTTGTGCAACAGTAAATATAAAAAAAGTAATATAAAAACAAATAGCACCTCAACTTAAAACACCCAGTAGGCGTTTGCAAGTTTACATATCTCACAGTTTGCTAAGACAATGTTGTCGTCATCAACCTTGTAATACCACCAGACCCCAGACATACTCGTGCTTTGCGCTTCATGCTGCTTCCGTGTTCTACTTTGCCGACATTTAACCAGTAGCGTCTCTGCAATATAGTGATGCCCTGTGCATTACTGTTTCTGTGTAAAGTCAAGAAAGAGGTCTAAGTCTGTGCCACCGCATAACCGCATAGATGTGTTCAAAAATAATGAGAATATATATTGTCCTGATTTTGTCCAATTTGTTCATGGTTTTGGGAAAAGAAAGGTCTAGATGTTTATTTGTGGTATCCTTGTTTAATGCAGTTAATGTTTGTGTCTTGATTTTGTAATCCGGATCAGAAAACAGTAGTTACAGTATACATATATACTGTAGGTAACACTGTCACTTACTTATGTTAATTATATTTACAAACATGAACAAACAATGAACAATACATGTAATACAGTATTTATACAATTTTGTTAACATGTTAGTACAAATAAACATTTCCAAGCACACTATTGATTTAAATAATGCATTAGTAAATGTTGAACTATGATTAACAAATTCTGTACAAGATTGTTCATTCTTAGTTGTTGGTAAATACACAAACTAATGGACTGTTATTCAAAGTGATTAATGGCTTAATCCATTTAGTAAATGCTTGTGTTTTGAGGTCACCGCGGTACTGTAATTCTGCATTCGCTGTTCCTTTGAGACCCCCAGGGTCATTGTTCTCCTTCAGGCACAATGATGATTGATCGGAACCAGGATCTCATTAACTCTTCAGATCCCGGGTCACTCTTAATTGGGACTGAACCTGCAACCTTTGTGTTAATGGGCCAGAACTATTATTCCACAAGCAGTGTCAGTGTTGACTGATGGGAATGATTCAGGCATGTTGGGGGTTTAAATGTGTATGATCGCTCTCTGGTGTCTGGTGTGTGTGCGTGTGCATGTGTAATACTGGGAACGCGATTGTTTTGGCCGTGGACTGGACGGCGATGTTGCCAGGGATAAGTGAGTCCTTAGTTTATCCTGCCAAAATTTTTCCTGGCAGTAGAAAGAGATTCAGTTCACTCAATTTTTTTTTGTTTTGCCTTGTTCCTCTTCTGTTTTCTCTCTAAAGAATACATGCCAGCACTCTCAGCTTGCTTTACACACACACACACCTTATATACCTATATATTAGTGTGTATGTATATGCATGTGTGTGCTTTTACTTTTCTGAGGAAAGACAGATCTGTTTTTAGGAGCTTCAAAAGAAGTTTTGTAACAAGTGGTTGTAAAACATTAGTGGAATGCATCCATAAAATGTTTTCTGGTGCATTTTACTGCCCTCTCAGAAAAAAATGGTACAATGTTGTCAAAAAAGGTACAAACCCTTGTCACTCTGGTTGTACCCTTTTATGGAACAGAAATGTACCTTAAGACAAAGAAACAAATTTGCACCATTGCAGTTTGTGCCTTTAAGGACATGATTTGTCCCATGGGAAACCAAAATGTACTTTTGGTTTTAAAACCTCCAGACACAATATTGTATCTTCATCAAAGGTACAAATCTGATCCATGAATGTCCCACTACAAGACACTTTGTACCTTAACAGTGTCAAATGTGTTCCTTTAAGAAATATTTAAGGGTATTTTCATTCATTTTCTTGTCGGCTTAGAGCCTTTATTAATCTCGGGTCGCCACAGTGGAATGAACCGCCAACTTATCCAGCAAGTTTTTACGCAGCGGATGCCCTTCCAGCCGCAAACCATCTCTGGGAAACATCCACACACACACACTCATACACTACGGACAATTGAGCCAACCCAATTCACCTGTACCGCATGTCTTTGGACTGTGGGGGAAACCGGAGCACCCAGAGGAAACCCACGCGAAGGCAGGGAGAACATGCAAACTCCACACAGAAACGCCAACTGAGCCGAGGTTCGAACCAGCAACCCAGCGACCTTCTTGCTGTGAGGCGACAGCACTTCCTACTGCACCACTTCCTCGCCTTAAGGGCATTTTGCTTGTTTAAAAAAGTCTATTTTTGTGTAAATGCACCTTTTCCATACACAATAAGGAATACAAAATACTTTAACACAAATCAAAAGATCTATTTTTGATAAACATTTCACAACACTTTTCACCAAAATGCTACACTAATACATTCGCCCATGTACATTATAAAACTTTTTTTTTTTCTCCAATGTTCACACAATACCTTCGTAATCACTTAAATGTTCATTTAATTGACTTCATTTTAAAGTAGAAGTAGAATTATGCAACAGTATTGTAACAAGATATGCACAATGTTTGATTAGTTGTACAGTACTAAAATGTCTTCATGAACACTTTGCATATGCAGGACTTTTGCCAGCTCATGTGCGTAGTGGAAAGCAAACGCCAAAAGATGCAGATATCAATAATAAAACTGTATTTATCAGAAAATGCTTACCAAATGTTTATTAAAAATGCCTTAAATGTTTAGTTTACATTACCTATAGTTTTGTTTTATAATTATTGTTTATGAGTTTCTTTAAACATATGCTTTTAAATGATGATTGATGTTTTAATATGTTAAATATTCTTAAAATAAATTTGCCTTTTTAGTTATATTAATTTCATACATATTGTAATAAAGGAGTTTTTCAACACATATGTACCTTTTTATGAAACCAATTTTGTATCTTACATGATATACATACGAAGATTATCGAAACGCTTTTTTGAATTTTTTTAGCAAATTGCTAATGGTCTAATCTGATTCAATGATCTATGCTAAGCTAAGCTAAAAGTTCTAGTGCCAGATGCAGAGAATAACTGAATGGATTAAAAATGGTAAACATCAACTGCGTTAATTCTAGGGGAGTAATAAAATGAGCCTATTACCAAAAAATTGGAGTGTTCCTTTAAGAATCAGATATTAGCCTCTTTCTTTCCTCTTCTCTGTGGTGTAGTTTGGCAGAGATCTGTATGACAGCAGTGAGATTGTTTTCTCTCTCAGCAGGAAGTGCGACAAAAAGAAAAAAGAAAGCAAAAAAAAAAGATCAAATCCACTTGGCTTATTGCATGCTTAAAATGCTTACCTCTCTCTCCATCTCTGTCTGTTGTCCCAGGGTGCTGTTTTGTCACGTTCTACACAAGGAAAGCTGCCCTGGAGGCCCAGAATGCACTGCACAACATAAAGACCTTAACTGGGGTGAGTGTTTGTTTATCTGCTCGTGTCTGTCTCTTTATGAAAGCCAGCGAGGCAAAGAATTTCTTATTCATATGACGACGGTTTCGAGTTTTTTAATCTGCTTTCCTTTGTTGGAGGTGGTAATTCAGGAAAAGTCGGGTTGAGGAGAAAGGCTTATGCTGGTCTTTGTCTCAAGTCAGAGAGCAACTTTAATGAGTTTGTGCTTTTTAATGGAGAAAGTGCTACATGTTGTGCTGAAACTCAGAGTTATTGCACTCGAAATCCAAACACAAGTGGACATGGGAGATACGCTAGGAGTCAGTTTGAAAGTGACAGCGGACATTCATTTTCAAATAAATGATGTTATTTTGCAAAGAATGCTGTTTATTGTCAAAGAATCTTGAACAAAAACCATAAGGATTTCCATAAAAAATTAAAGAATACATATTTTAAATTGTCCATAGTATTAAGTCTTGATTGAAATATGTTGTATATATACTAGTTCTGTCAAAACTAGTGCGTTAACACATGCGATTAATTAGAAATATTTAACATGTAAAAAAAAAATTACGCAATTAACGCTGTTGCAGATTATTATTTTTTTGTCTGTTGGGGTCGACATGTGTTAAACATGCAAAGAAATATGGATAAGACCAAGGATGCACTTTTTAAAGGCAAGTTTCACTATAAAACAATTAATGTCGCACCACCAGGCTCCAGAGTTTCATGCAATTTGGGTGTTTCGTTTTTAACTTTCAACTTTTGTTTTATTGGAATTTGATGCCACATGGCGAACGGAAAGAAAAACCTCCGCATTTTGGCTATTATAATATATTTATTTATTTAAACTAGCCTATATTAAATAACTTACAATATTTATTTTACCATTCGTATTGGCATTAAAGAATTTTTAAACAGATTATTAATAACTTATAAAAGAATATTTTACTGCGCTCAGTGAAAAGTTTTAGGTCAAATAGGCTATTTAATATTAGATCAATTGCCAACTCGTCGCAGCTATGTCTAAAATTAAACTCTTATCAGAAAACAATAAACACATAGCCTATGCCAAGTGGAGACCGGCATGAACCTGAAGTCACCATCAAATCCTGTCCCGTGCCGCACTGTTGCATCGAGTCTTTGAAATCATTTCAGTGTCAGCGCCTATTTAGCTGTAAGAGCATGGTGATTTGCATTGGTTTGAATTATTATTCAAGATCAAATGCCATGCAAACGCAGTAGGTTAAAAAAAATCAATAATATCTTAAATATCTTTAGATATGGTTAAATATAATAATGAAATGTTATATACATAAACGTATAACTACCGCGCCCCCATGCAATAGTATTGTATATTGGTGATCTCACAGGGGGACGATAAGGCAATCTAAAAATTTCGTATATCGTCCAACACTAGTAACTACTTCTTTAGAGAAAAAACCTATCAGTTTTGTGCTAATTATTGCATAAAAAAATTCAATATTAGTTTTGGTAAAAAACATACACATGTTTTCCATATTAATTGAAATATATGTAAACAACACATTGGACCTATATTTCCTTTAAAAATATTATTGAAAATATTCCATATAAAATCACTTAGCTAACACATTTTAATCTCATATATAAATTGTATAAATCGTTAATGGTTGTAGGCCTAATTTACAGTAGGCTATTTATTAAGAAATGAAAAAAAAATCCTACTTAATATTAATAATAACACTAATAATAATAACAATATTAATAATAATTATTAATATTATTATTATGATGATGATGATTATTATTATTATTAAGTAGGATATTGTTTGTTTATTTTATATTTTTTTAAGTCTACTTTTACTTTCTGACATTCTAACCACTGCAGAAATGTTCTAACCATCAGACCCATGTTGGACATTTCTTAAAAATTTATTACATTTCTTAATAATAAATTTATATATATATATATATATATATATATATATATATATATATATATATATATATATATATATATATATATATATATATATATATATATATATATACACACACACACACACACATGCACACACACACAAACATTGGTTTTCATAGGCTTTAAGACTACAACTTTTAACGTCACATAGCTTTCGTCATGAGCCATGGCTGTGGGCTGTGTTCAAGATGGCATAAATGTTTTCAAAGTACATTATGAAGGGAACGCAATTGTCAATATGAATATAAAAATACTTTAAAAGGAAATTACACCTAAGAGAGATGACTTTATTGTGTTTTTTTATGTTAGAATGTTCTAAACGAATAGGGCATAGGGGGGATAACTGGAAATATAACACAACCAGGAGCTCTGCTTCTAACTACAGCTCTAGAGGTGTAGTTTCGAGCGTACAAGTTTGCAATGCAGTGAAAATGCCAAATCAATTAACTATATTTGTAATGACAAAACTTCCACTTTAGTTAGCTAACAATGGTTTTTGGAAATGCACAGTATGACAGGCTGGCTGCTGATGCTCTGGATCATTGAAATTATAAATAAATATTTATTTATTTATTTATTTATCTTATTTTTTCTAATTTATTTATTTATATATGGTGTTTTGTGCGTTGCCAGTGAACTAATAATAATTTACAAATTTATTAAATTATTTAATTATTTGAAGACATTATTGAATAAATTGAATAACCTATAAGAGAAAGAAAGAAAGAAAGAAAGAAAGAAAGAAAGAAAGAAAGAAAGAAAGAAAGAAAGAAAGAAAGAAAGAAATAATCTGTATAATAATAATAATTTTTAAAATATCTGCTGTAATTTGAGATTTGACAAAAAAATAACTAAACTATTTTTTTAAATTAGCTGTAAACGTTGGATGATTGCAAAACAGCATGTGGCAAAATGTTTGAATATATACAGGCTTTTCCTCCTAATTAAATAAATAAATGGATGGATCAATGAATGGATGGTAAATATTATTTTATTCTACAGGTCTTTTAAATCAATGAAGATTATTACTGGCATTAACATTAGATGAGATTTATAAATGCTTTAGTTCATGTAAGTGTTAGTTCATCATAACTAGCTAACAAATGAAACATTCTTACTAAAATCATATATACCAGATATCTTATTACTTGTGTTTGTGTGTGCTGCAAAAAAAAGCACCACAGATTACTGTCGACTATTATAAAATAAAATAAAATAAAATAAAAATGCAAGGTTGTGCTTAAAGCCAAAACAAGACTTTATTTATGAAAACATAACAATAGCTCTGTTATAAAACTGACAGATGAACTGCATTCTTGCTTTTAATGTCTGTGTTTCTTCCCATTGTTTTCAAATCATCTTTTTTGTTTAGTTCGAAATGTTGTTTTTCCTATTCTGAACTCCGTAGCCTTCGGCAGACTAGAGATGTCACATACGATTATCATATCAATTGCTGCCATAATCAGGCCGTCTCTGAGAGGACGATTGAAGGCTAATGTAGGACACGTCTGCTAAAGTCTCCTCCAGCTGTGAACGCATTCATCTCTCATAATGCGATTGTGCATTAATTCACTGCACCGAAGACCGCCGAAAATCACGACCGTCTTGGGAAATATGCTGTAAAAGGTTTGGACGGTGGACTTTGTTTACAGTCATTTGTCGCATAGGAGAGTCTGAAGACTTTATTTTGAAGTTGCAGATTTTGAGACTGTAGTTAAAAGAAAAATATTGAATAAGCAAACATATTTACTCGTTTAATAAACAAGCTTGGGGATTTTTGTTTTTGATCATTGTTAGGCTTTACAGTTCTCTTGAAATCTACTTTTGTGATACTTCTGTGCTTAATTTGAGAAAAAAATAATGTGTTTGTAGAGTATTAACGTGTTTATTGACACACTGTTCTTCAAAATAATTAGCAGAATGTTGTGACTTTGACATGAACAATGGAATGATAATGTACAAAACTTAAGTGGGAAAAAATGCATACAAACCTAATATTAACCTAAATACTATTTAAATAGACTAAATATAGCAAAGAGACAACTAACCATTCAGTATACATCAATTGTGTCAATTGACCCATCTTTCCATCCTTCTATTCATCCATTCATTCATCCATCCATCCATCCCTCCATTCATCCTTGGTCCATCCATGGGCTCATCCATCTGTCTTTCCATCCATCCATCCATCCATCCATTCATCCATCCATCCATCCATTCATCTAACATATGTCTGTCCATTAATTCGTCTGTCTATCCATCCCTCTGTCATTTATACATTCAACCATCAATTCTTCAAACATCCATCCACTCTACCATTCATCAACCCATCTGTTAGGACATTCATCATCCATGCATTCATTTATCTGTCCATTCATCCTAGCAGCCTATCATCCATCCATTAACCATGCATTCATTCTTCCATTAATTCAACCATCATTAATTAATTAATTCATTCATTTATTCATTCATCTATACATCCTATCATCCATCAATCCATCTGTTCATCAATACTTTCATTGGTCTGTCCATTTATCTTACCAGCCTATCATCCATCTGACATTAATTCATCCCTCATCCATCCATACACCTATCCTATCATCCATTATCTATCTATTTTTATATCGGTCCACTATTCATTCATTCATCCATTCAATCATCATTCATCATGCATTCATACATCATTCATTCATTCATGTATCTGTGAATTAATTAATTATCCATTAATTCGTCAAACATTCATCCACACACCCTACCATCCACCTGTTCATGTATTTATCATCCATATACTCAGTAATCATGCATTCATTCGTCCATCAATCCACCCACCCATTCATTCATTCATTCATTCATTCATTCATTCATTCATTCATTCATTCATTCATCCATTCATCCATTCATCCATTCATCCATTAAATCATCCATTCATTCATCATTCATTCATACATCATTTATTCATTCATGTATCTGTGAATTAATTATTTATCCATTAATTCGTCAAACATTCATCCACCCACCATACCATCCACCTGTTCATGTATTTATCATCCATATACCCAGTAATCATGCATTCATTCGTCCATCAATCCACCCACCCACCCATTCATTCATTCATTCATTCATTCATTCATCCATTTGTACATCCTACCATCCATCAATCTATCTCTTTATTAATTCATCAATACTTTCATTGATCTGTTCATTCATCATACCAGCGTATCATCCATCTTACATTAATTCATCCATTATCCATCCATACACCCATCCTATCATCCATCTGGCAAATCATCATGCATTCATTCTTATGTCATTCATTCATTAATTCATCCATTAATTCATCAAACCTTCATTCATCCATCCTACCATCCATCTGTTAATTTATTCATCATCCACACACTCATTGGTCTGTTTATTCATCCTATCAGTCTATCATCCATCCATCCATCCATCCATCCATCCCTCCATCCATCATATTAATTTCTCAATCCATCCATTCCAACATACATCATACATTCATTCATTTATTCATCCATCCGTTCATTTATTTATTCTTCATCCAATCATCCATCTGACCATCCATCTTTCATTCTTTCATTTATCCATCAACCCATCCACAGGATTCCCTATTCATTATTCATTCGTCTCTAAATTCATTCATACCACCATCAATCCATCTATCCAACTATCTGGCTGTTCTGTTTGTTTAACTTGATGTAAACGTTTCCACTTGTGTGTGTGTGTCAGTAGGTTATCTGTTTATAACATTGACAGATGTTGTCAATTACACCGTCTGAATTGCTTTCAAGAAGGTCTCATCTGTCTTCTTTGCTTGTGTGTGTGAGGGCTCTATTAGAGGTAGATGCAACGGCTTGTTTATTTTAAATTACATATTGCTTACTGCTAGTGTTTATGACAGTGTGTGTGTGTGTATGTGTGTGTGTGTGTTTGAGAGAGAGAGAGTGAGTGTGGCAGCTTATAAAATCCCCACTGTGTGCCCATCTGTCTGACTCCTGTGATCTTTAACCCAAAACACACACACACACACACAAACACACACACTGTGTCCTCAAACCACTGGACTACACACATGGGCACACATAGATAACTGCCTTTCTATAAACAGCAAAATCTGACAGGATAATCAACATACATGCAAATAATATGTGAATGTGAATGAATATGAATAATAGTTATATAATAGTATATGTGAATTAATAGTAAATGTGTAAATAATAAATCAATTCTTCATCACCCGGAAAATAATATCAGTGATAAATCTTCTAGTCTTTAAAAAACAAAGTCAAACACCAAACTTGAGACTTTTGTAGCCATTAAGTATTCAGCTCACGGTCAAAAGGAGTGCGTTTGTGTGTGCGTGTGTGTGTATGTGTGTGTGTCCTACAGGATCAGATGCCAGCAGCATGGCAAGCCATCAAAGGCATGAACGTGTGTTTTCATGTGTGTATGTGGGTGTGTGTGTATGGGGCAAAGGTCAGAGCTGAAATGAAGTAAACGGATATCTTCAGTTATTTCGGACTGCTTTTATAACTCGATCCAGGCCAGGAGTTCTAAAGCTGTCATTCTGACATCCTCAGCCACAGATGTTGACCGCATTCAGGTTTGTGTTTGAGAGAGAGAGAGAACTGGCATATATATTTGATGAGAAGTGTTCAAGAATATAATCTCTGTAATGAGTGTCATGGACTTTATCAGGAGTAAATGAAAATGTTTACATATGTGGACACACACATACACATCGTATAGAGAACACATGAATATGGAGAAACAGATGCTGTGTGTGTGTGTGTGTGTGTGTGTGTGTGTGTGTGTGTGTGCGTGCGTGCGTGCGTGCGTGCGTGCGTGCGTGCGTGTGTGTGTGTGTTTGTGATCTGAACTCTGGCAGTATATCAAAGCTGGACTCAGCATTGTGGAGTTGATCCACTAAGCTAAAGGTGCTGCAAGATGAAGAGACTTGACACCATGGTACCAGTTTAAATGTTATTTAAAAAAGTGAAAGAAAAAATAGATGAGCAATCAAAAATGGAAGTGTAGCGTTAATGGCGTTAATTAAATAAAGCAACAAACCTCTTTTTGCATCTCCATTTCAGTATATCCTAAGTGTATCTTTGATAATATGTACCATTGATATATGTCGGACCACCTAGTTTTTAACTTTTTTTTTTGTTGTTAAGGTTTTTTTTTTTTTGTGATTTAAAAAATACAAATAATAAAAACAAAGCTTCTATATTTTGGTCTCTAATACAGATCTAAAATGGTAGGGATTAAGCCAAAGGAAGGTGCTATAACTCTTATTTTTTTCTATGATCTTACTTTCTCTCTCTCAGATTTCACTGCAGAGCATCTGAGATCATTTACCTCACACATAGAACATGTGTTAGGGCTTACCCTATCTTAATACACCTCAAATTCATCAATGGCAGGGAAGCGTTTTCTCTCGTTACCTACAGGGAAAGAGTTAAACTAATTAATTTATCTATTTGATGCACATCTTAATACCGACCATTCATGTAAAGCAAATATAATGTCCAATTCGGCCACATCCAGCAGCCATCATCTGTGAACTTATATTCATCATTGTAAGCTGCTTGTTTTTTTCTGTTCCTTTGCTCCATTTGTTAGAGGTTTGCTTCCACTTTCTTTTACAGTCTGAAGCACGTTAAATGCACAAAGCATCCGATTTGTGCCACAGGATGTCTAATTCCATCTTTGCATTGACTTCAGATGTAAGTCACTCACGCTTTATTTGTCTGCTTATTGCAAAACAACCCCCCCCCCACCACCACCACAACTTCTATGAAATTTTATGAATGTGAGGGCGCAGGTGAGACGTCATTTTTCGAGAGACACTCATATACATATGCAACATCTATAAGTCATGTAAAACGACTAATTGCACATTTAAATAAATCAAATTTTCATTACATGGTTTGGAACTGGATGTTTTATGAAGTAATTTCCATTTTTTAAGAATCGCGATTTATTAGCGGATCGCTCGTATGTCAGCTTATAGACAAACCAGCTGATCAACATGACTTTGAAACGCTCCAGTGTCCCTATATCCGTGGTTACACTCAGTAAACAGCGGTGAGTTTGATGAACTGATGACCTTCACGGCCAATCAAAGTCATTTCAGTGGAGCAGGTAAACACAATGGCAAATCAGCGCTGTTTAGGAACGTGTGCAGTAGCACTCAAACGTTAGCTGTAAATTCTTTCTTCTTTAAAATATCTTACTTTGTGTTCAACAGAAGAAACTCAAACAGGTTTGGAACAAGTGAAGAGTGACTAAATGATGACAATTTTTGTGTGAACTATCCCTTTAAGACTAGCAATGTGCACTACTGTAGTAAAATAAACATTGTACATTTGGGTTTCATGCAGACTTTAAGAGTGATTATATATGCTGTAGATTCATAAAGATAGAATAATTAATACATTACATTATTTGAAATTTTAACATTATGAAATGTTGCTTAGGTAAAATGTTCTTTGTTTTTTTTTAACTACACAAATATCAAAGATACTGAATATTGTCAAACAGACATTAAAAGTCAAATAAGACACACAACTTTAACAACAAAAATGAAAAACACAGCATTACCTCCACAAAAATATTAATCTGACCCCTGTGTACATAGACTGACAATTAAAAATAGTGCAGACGGGAAAGACCCAGAGCACACAACAAATTATTCAGAAAAAAACATTAGATCGAGATTAAGAGAACAGGAAAGATGGAGCGCAATAAACATTTCATCGGCAAAGTGCTGACAAATCACCTTCATCAGCAGCCCCGCTCGCGTACGTCTTCATTCGGCTCGCGTCTATCGAGATGAAGAATTGAGTCAGCGGAAAAAACGACGACACATTAACAAGATTACAGCGATAATGTAGAACATCAGCGAGACCAGCTTGATTATGAACATTAATGAGTGTGCTGTAGTAAATGTAACCCGTGTGCGTCTTGTGTTTCAGATGCACCATCCCATACAGATGAAGCCCGCAGACAGTGAGAAATCAAATGGTGAGTGTCTCCTATATTTTGTCTCCAGTACGCTTGTCTTTCCATCTGTGTGTGTGACTGACTGGAAGATGACTGAATTATTGAAGCCCAGGAGAGCCGCGGGTCAACAATAGTTTAAGCGTCTGGCCTGGCAGTGACCCATACGCGTATATACAGACACTCAGATAAAGCGAATCACTCATAAAATGATTTCATAAATGTGGTCAGGAAGTCCAGTGAAAGAGAGCTGGTGACCAGAGGATCTGCAAAGCTCTTTAAAGGAGATATGTCATAAAAATGATAGACTTTTTTCATGTTTAGGGGCTATCATCGGTTCCCCAACGCATATGTAAGCTCAAAAGGCTCTATCTATTTATCTATCTATCTATCTATCTATCTATCTATCTATCTATCTATCTATCTATCTATCTATCTATCTATCTATCTATCTATCTATCTATCTATCTATCTATCTATCTATCTATCTATCTATCTATCTATCTATCTATCTATCTATCTATCTATCTATCTATCTATCTATCATCTTCTAAAAGAACCAACTAGGCTTGCACAATGTATCGTTTCAGCATCGATATCACAATGTGCGCATCTGCAATAGTCACACCACAGGACATTCAATGTTGAGTTGAGATTACAATTAACTAAAAATCACAGTTCAGTACACATGATTTGTTTAATCGTTTTCAATTTCAGTCATAATCTATTAGTTTTTTACTCAGATCTGTTTTAAGGCCAGTGACTGTAATATTTAAAGCAAATTAAAACCATTTGGCAACAAGAAGTTATAAAGTTTGCCACTTTACCAAAGATTAATTGAGTTTAATTATTCATCAAATGAAGACTATAGAGTGTTATTTTAGATTTGATTATTTAATTTCTTGACCTCAATATTGTAATATTCCTCCAAAACCCATAAAGCATTGTTTATTTTGTTTTCTATCTGTGCTTACATTTTTTAATTACAATTTTTACATATATTTTTGGATATAATCTATGCAGATACACTCCACTGCAGAATCATCCCAAATCAATGTAAAATTGTGAATTTGCCCCAAAGAGTTTCTTATGTCATATTGTAAAATTATACAAAACACAATATGAAATATAAAAATGTGAAAAATTTGAAAAAAATCCAATATTGTGCTGCCCTACAACGGATCAATAAACAAGACAGACCAACAGTCAACTTTTGAATTACTTTGTCACTTTTGATTCATTGTTAATATATATAAAGCCTTATAGTCTACTTTTGACCTAAACAAACAAACAAATTGTTTTGTTTTATCCATATGTATTATAATGACATTTTAATGAATATATATATATATATATATATATATATATATATATATATATATATATATATATATATATATATATATATATATATATAATGCAATTTAGAGAGTATTAAAGAATGCCACCCAAAATGTAAAAACAATTAAATGTGTTGGGCAAACATTAAACTCGATTAATCACATCCAATTTTGACAATGTATGTGGTTGAACTGTGTATATTTATTATGTGTATATAAATACACAAATGCATGCATATATTTGAGAAAATGTTTATTTATATTTAGATATAAAAAATATATATGATAAAAAATTATATATTAATTAAAAATATTTAAGTGAACAAAAACGTTTTGTTTTCATATACGGTTGAAGTAAGAATTATTAGCCACCAACCAGCCTAGTTAACCTAATTAACCTAGTTAAGCCTTTAAATGTCACTTTAAGCTGTATAGAAGTGTCTTGAAAAATAACTAGTCAAATATTATTTACTGTCATCATGGCAAAGATAAAATAAAGTTATAGAGTTATTAAAACTATAATGTTTAGAAATTTGTTAAAAAAATCTGATCTCCGTTAAACAGAAATTAGGGGGAAAATAAACAAAGGGGCGAATATCACTCTGTCTCCTCTCCACCAATCAGCTGGTGTATGGTATGCGGTCTGGCGCAATATGGTCACGTCATCCAGGTGGATGCTGCACACTGGTGGTGGATGAAGAGATTCCCCCAAAACGTGTAAAAAGATTTGAGGGTGCAGAAAAGCTCTATATAAATGTAAAGAATCATCATCATCATCATCATCATCATCATTATTATTATTATTATTATTATTATTATTATTATTATAAATGCTGTATATGTAATACACACACATATCTAATGTCAAAACTTTAGTTTTGGATGTGATTAATCGTGATAAATTTTTCCCCAGCTCAAAAAATAAAGAATGATTTTTACTTTGTTTATTTAGACCTGCAAAGACATCAAAAATAGTAATGTATGAGAAATAAAAGTATTAAATAAAAGAAGGATGAGAAATAAAAGTATTAATTATTAATAATCTTTAAATAAATCATACTGACATGTCATTTTAAAAATACTGAAAACATTGCATTGTGTAAAATATCTTTCATCTGCTAGAATTGTTGTGTACACAGACCTGCTCGCAAACCATATTAATATCGATTGTTCTTTTGACTTGATCCTTTTCAGTGAATCTCTCAGACTGCTTCACAAATCAGCCTGTACGATAAATTCCCAGATTAGGCCGAAACACAATTATTTTCCCCAAGTCAGCGGATAATAACTTTTCTAATGCTAGTCTTTGCTCTCATTGTGCATGATTCGCTGCACGCTATTGCAAAGCACAAATATTTGTGGAATATTTCATCAAAATGTAATAACTCGTTCTGCCTCCTGAAATGACTTATTATGGAAATAAAATGGCCCGCGAACAGCGTTTCATGTATTTTCAGAGTCAGATTTGTCGGTGGAAAAGCATCTGTCTGCGATCAGTCATTTTACAGACGTGACTCTCCATAAAACGTCTCAAAATGATGATTGTATATGAAACATTGACTGTAAGCGCAGCTATAAAGCATTATTTGTGCTCATTAGTGAACTGTAACCCATCAGACCGAGAGGCTGCTCCTGTGTGTGTGTTAATCTTCTTGTATGACAGTGTGTGTGTGTGTGTGTGTGTTTGAAACAGCACTTATCGCTAGCTCATCCTGTCACCGTTAAATGCACAAACAATTCAAACAGCAAAATAAACAAGTGAGCTATCGATTTCCCCGAGTGCAGCAGCTTGCTTATCGGCCGCCCAGCGGTAAGAGCTGACACATTCTTCATTAAACTAAAAATTGGATTACAGTTGCCACACTCTTGCTCTCTTTCTCTCTCTTTTTCAGTTGCTCATTCAAGCTTTCACAGGCACACGACTGTAAATTGCAACCATACACACTTGTAATTTTATTGTTGTATTACGTTTTTTTTTTTTTTAAGATTTCCTTATTGTTTTGTTCCAATTATGCTCAGTTTTTCATATTTAAGACATCTAATTCAGTGTTTCTCAAGCACGTTACTGAAGGACAACCAGTTTTGCACGTTTTCCATGTCTCCTTAACCAAACACACATGATTCAGATCATCAGCTTATTAGCAGAGGCTAAAAGACCTGGAATGGGCGTAAAAGACAAAGGAGACATCCAAAACATGCAGTACTGGTGGTCTTCTAGGAATGTGGTTGAGAAACACTGATCTAAATGACTAAATGAATATTTTATTTATTTATTTATTTATTTATTTAAATTAGGTGGAATTTCAATTCGATACATATAATTAAATTAAGTTACTTTTTTCAGTAGAACGTATGAGATCTTTGTTTAAATTGTAAACCTTGGTGATCCACATCAAGTTAATGACTATAGGTACTTAAAAAAACAGTTAAAGGCGCAATGAATTCCCTGGATTTATTAGGTTTGGGTTTTTACTAGCATTAACTAAGTATGAATAATCTTGTAAAGCGTTTATTAATCATAGTTCACTATCAACTAATGCATTATTCAGATCCAAATTTGTGCCCATTAACATTGGTTGATGAACAGTGAGTTAACATGAACAAACATTATTTAACTTAATTAATATTAATGTTAATGAAGATGAATAAATACTGCAATAAACCTATTGCAAGTTGTTTGTTAATGCTAGTAAATACATTAACTAACAATAACTATTGCCCCTTTTCCTCTGATTGGTACAGTACGGTACTCTTTTTATGGCCGTTTCCACTAAAAAGGTACCAAAAAGCAAACCGTACCGGGTACCTAGCATGACAAAAGGGTACCAAAAGGCAGAGCTAGACGTGCAGGTGAATGCTATTTGTATACAGAGAAACGTGCACAAGCAGTTTCACTTGCTCCAGAGTGCTTGCATGCTCGTCTTTATTTAAAATAACAAACTTCTTGAGCTGATGATAATAAGATTTATTGAAGTGCTTCTGACATCCGATCCTTTCAGAAACGGACACGCGCGAGAGTGATACGCGAAAAAACGAAGGAGAAGCGGTAAAAAAACAGAGGAGCAAATGATTCTTTCAGCAACCTAAACCATGAACAAACTGCCATGTTTAACTTTTATCATCACCTTTTGGACCTATATGAACTCAGAATGACGAAATTACTTTCTAATAAGAGGTTACATGTGCTGGTGAGATTAAAGATACGGATGAGTGGTTACTGTGGGCTACATGTTGCGTGTTGTTTTTGAACCCAAATAAGGACTAAATGTATGCTGTGTGTAGTTTTTCTGTAATTGGTAACATATCGGAAACTGTATGTGTTCATATATTATGTTGCATGTATTTATTTATTTATTTATTTATTTATATAATTGCAGACGTTATTGATCTGCAGTTATGATCATGTTCATAGAAAGGGTAGTAATGAACATTTATGCACAAGTATTTGTGTGTATAAAGCATCTGTTTAGTGAGAAGTGCTTCTCATATGATATGTGAACAACCCGTACAGCTTTACTTTGAACGAGATTGAGCGTGAATGACAATGACTGAAACTTTCTGTCGTACGCCACACCCACCATTGGTACCCTTTTGGCAGTGGAAACAAAAGCCTCATAAAGGTGACCCGTACTGTGCCACTCAGTAGAAACAGACGATTGTTTTAAAGTGTTACTTTTAAGTTTTCCAAATTTCGAATTAAAATGTTGTCATTTATCATATTTAATAGAAAATGTGTATCTTTTAAGTCATTTAAGTATCATTTTCAGACATGGCTTCCTAATAATCAACATTGTAAACACTAGGCTTTTTAATGTTGTGTTTGTTGTTGTTGTGTTTTTTCATGTTTATTTGATTATTGTTTGTAGTTTGAGTTTGTATTTTTATTGGTTTTGCCTTTAACTTGTACAAGTACATTCTTGGAGGGCATTGATTAATGTACACTGCCCCTAGTTAATATAATAAAATCTTAATCATTGTTATTTCATAAAATGTTGATTATTTTGAAATGTTGATTATGGTAGAAATGCATGTAAACATCTCAAAACATGACAAGTCAATTCAATGCTTTATTCAAATTACAACATGTGTTATTTTAAATATGGAAGAAATTATCAGCAGTTAATTCAGATAATTTTAAAGTGGACCCTTATTTTTGTTTCCATAGCTTTATAATACACCTAAAACTGCAATTAAATTAGCTGAATTATTTCACAAATTCCAATGTCATGAATATTTTTGTTGTAGTATTCCATTTGGCTGACGTTTTGTCTTCTGGAGATTATAAAAAATGCAATACATTTGCCAGAAAAGAGCTGTTTATTCATCCAGCTAAAGAGTCAAGCAACATAACTACATTTCCCATCATTCTTTTTGGCAACACAAAAATGTGAGGTATCAATTACCCACCTAATGCACCTTTTCCTCTTCATTTTTGTTGCATTAGCGCTAAAGAGTTGCTAGTCTTTTTAGTGAACTATGAAAAAAAGAGAGGAAAAATAAAATGAAATCGCATCCATTTTATTCCCACTAAAATGCACATCGCATCATAATTACGGCCTTCAAGCTCGTAAATAGGAAGTTCCCCACGAGGACTAGAAAGGCAGCGCATGTAGATTATGGCAGAAGAGAAAGCACCCGGGTCACTGAAAGAAAAGATCAGAGAGAACCCAGCAAAAATGAGTGTGTGTGTTTGTCATTGATGTGCAAATGAGACGCTGATCATGTGCAGCCTCAATGTCTATTTTAGCGCACGTTGGTCACACTTGTTTTCTCCACCTCTCCTCTTTTGCTCAGCGGTGGAGGATAGAAAGCTGTTCATTGGGATGGTGTCGAAGAAATGCAATGAGAACGACATTCGGGTCATGTTTTCTCCCTACGGACAGATCGAGGAGTGCCGCATCTTACGGGGACCAGACGGACTCAGCCGAGGTGAGACACATGCATATTATACAACAATCATATTGAAAAAGAAACATATAATTATTCTTTTTGAAACATGGTTGGATAGTTTTACAATAGCAGGGCAAATGTGAAACTAATTTGGTGAGCCAGCCAAGATACAGTGAAGCACACTGGGTAGCTACGCCCACAGTGAAATACCATTGGTCAAATAAAACTTTTGATGCAACTATATATTAAACAGCATACATGACTGACACAGCTTTTTACATTTTTACTTGTGGACTAACATCATTGGTGCTGGTTAGAGTTACTCGAGATTACTTAAAATGTCTAGTCAATTGCAAGATCAAGTTTACTTGGTTTAGGTAATATAAATGACTTCTTTTGGATTACTTTTGGATTACTTTTATGTATCCTAAGTGTACCCATGTGGTTGTAGGGTAATAATAGTGAGTAATAATAATATAAAATAATAATAATATAAAATAATAATATATGATTTAGAATAATGATTGTTCTGATTACTTTTAAATTTCTTTTAACATAACCAGTTTATTGTGTTTAAATTTAAAAGAGAATTGATAAATTCTAAATAATAAACTGTCACTAAATAATTAGTTATATTGGTATTCATAAAAGGTTACTGTGATCTGATTATTATGAGGATTCTACAACATAATATACTCTAATTACTAATGAGATATTGTGCTTTTGTAATCTGATTACATTATCCAAATTACATGGAATCACTTACTACCCAGCACTGGATATCACAGCAATAAACTCAATTACACAAAACTAACACATTTACACATCAATGTCTGTTAAGTAGAACTATCAACTCAGTCATGTGGGAATAGAGGGAGGTTTTGTTTTTTGTTTTACACATGGCAAAAGTATCTACTTTGTATGAATTCATATAATGTTATTTTGTAAAATCTGCTTATACCCTAGTGACTGTTGTTTAGGGGTAGACCTTCTTAATTACAATATCAATAACAAAATATTGGATCATTTACATATAAAAGGCCTAAATGTTGCAAAATGAGCCTGATTAGTTAGTCTATAAGGGTGGAGAATGCTTGAGAAACATTTCTCTCAAGTTATAGTGAGAGATAAGTGTAATATGGGCTTATATCAACACAGCTTTAACTTATATTTATTCATTTACTTATTTATTTTGATATTTTGAGTAATGTGTTCTGACTACTTTTGGATTAGCCAACACAATGCCCTAACTAGCCAACGCAATTTATGGTAATACATAACTGATTTACAGTTTTGAAAAAATTTGCGAATAATTCATATAGATGCGAAGTGTCATTCGCACCTCTTTCTCCCTCTATTTGAGCTAGAATGACATTCATCGCAACTTTTGGGTAATATGTTACTTTTGGTAAACACCAACTTTCTGACTACTTTTGGTTTACTTTTAGATTACTTTTTGCCCTAACTATTCAACACAATCTAATTTAATTCAAAACATAACTTACATTTTGGCAAATTAGTGGATAATTCATATAGATGCCAACAGTAAATAAAAAAAAAAATAATAATAAATAAATAAATAAATTTAGGTACTTTAAGTGGCATTCTTCTCTAAGTGAGAATAATGTTGATCAGAACAATCTTCTATATATCATGTCTACCAAGTTAGGGTATTGTTAGCAGTGGAAAACCAAGCCTGATCAAGTTGACTATACCGAATCATGCTGTAATGTACGGTACTATACTGTTTCACTCAGTGAAAATAAAGCATTAGTGGAGGCTTTTGGCCCATAGGCCTACATCATAATTGTTAAACTGTCATCACTTTGTTTTGTCAACTTTAGCATTCAAAAATGTACATTATGATCTATATTTATTCACATTTTGATCAAACCATGTTTCTTATTCGCAAAAATCAGTCTCTTGCCACGTGTCTGAGGATGTTCAATTTCCTCGAGATTCGCAAGAATATGTGCGGCACTTGATAGTGTTGAAGATTTTTTCCAGCCTGATGCAACCTGCAGGGAATTACACTGTACCCCCAACTTCCCATAATGCTTCACTTTTACATTCAGCCATCTTTTATCACCCATTTATCCTCCCCATCCACTCCTCTAGTCGTCTCTCCATCCTCCGCACTCCTTCTTTTCCATCTTTTCCTCATGTCCTCATGAATATTTTAATTCCACAGGAGATTAACTTTATTCCCCAAGCTCGTGCTTGGAGATATATTTGAAATGAGAGGAACTGCCGCCCCCCTTCCATAAAAAAAGGATTGGCTGAATAAATAGATGAGTAAATGTGTACGTAAAGGAGGTGCACGCTAAATCCCATGAACTAGGATGACTTTACCACCACTCGCGCACCGCTATTAAAGCAATCTATCAATCACCATTGAACTTCACTATTAATAAAATATAGATCAGGCCACATGCGAGTGCAGTGCCCTGGGAGCTACCCCAGTTTCTTCAAAAACTCTCAGCGCTCGTTCTTTCCAGCCCTCCATATCACACCAACTCCCTCAGCCGAAGATTCTAGACAGTGTTCAGATATTTAATATTAATATCTATAATATTACTTACTTATTTACTTTATCACTTACTTTCTTACTTATTTACCTTATTACTTTTACATATTTACTTGTTAGTGTATTTATTTATCTGTTAATTTATCCATTAACTTATTATCTTTTGTATTTCTTTATTTTTATTTAATACATTTTAGATTTATAACTATTAATTGAATTAAATCGTTATGGTTCATTTTTGTCATTGACAATCGTCTCCCTCTTTTGACAAGTGTATCTGTCTGCAAACTGCAAGACAGGGGCGTAACATGAAGGGATGTAACTTGTAGTAAGTTAGAGGTGTAACTTGCAGTTATCGAGATCCCATTGAACCATGCAAGATGTTACAACAAGATATTGTTGGCAAAATGGTGGAAATACTTATCAACAAAAGCAAATACTTTCTCCTACTTTTTTTAACAAATGTTTACATAAGTTTACACTGAATTTATTCTCAACCAAGTCATTTGAAATATTATTATATTCAATCATTTAGCAACTCCATCATGCAACTTCACTCGCTGACTTCATCTGTTTTGTCATGACAGTTTGCCTACTCGGCATCACCCTCTGTGGTTGCAAATAACAGTACAATGGTGACCGCGTCAAGTATGAAATCCTCTGCAACTCGGATGTACGTTAATAACTGTGAAGGTTGGGTTAAGGGTTGGGGAAGGTGTAGACTATAAACTGTAAAAGATATGGACATTATCCGTGGATCAGTATCCGTGATGACGCCCATGGGTTTTCTAAAGAGCAGAAATGAAGCTACAAGTAGGTGTGGCCAACCGTCGTCATTTTGTCTGTGCGTCATTGCACACACCGGGGGATACCAAACAAGGGCAAAGAGGCGAAGCGTGAACAGAGCTACAGACCCCTGCTAGCATTTTGCTTAGATGGGCTTTTCTTTAGGAGAAACACTTAATACTTCATTACCTGCGACTTGTTTGTGTTCAAACCACATGTGCTTGCTTGTACACTATATCAGTGAAGTGTTTAGACTTTTAAAAACACTGTTGTAATACATCGAGCCACTAAGCATTGTTCTTATGATGTTTTCTACAGGAGGAAAGTGCAAATTACTTCTGTGTTAGTAAATGCAAGGCTATTTATGAAATCCAGACATAAAACTGTATGACAAAATTTCAGATGACTGTTCTTTAGCCTACAGCACAGGAGTCAAACTCAGTTCCAAAAGGGCCGCAGCTCTGCACAGTTTAGTTCCAACCCTAATTAAGCACACCTGATCAAACTAATTGATTCCTTCAGGCTTGTTTGAAACCCACAGGTAAGTGTGTTGGAGCAGGGTTAGAACTAAACTGTGCAGGGCTTCGGCCCTCCAGGAATTGAGTTTGACATCCCTGGCCTACAGCTAATTAATCTGTCAGATTCTGGAGTGCTTTACAGGGCTGAAGAAAATAATAAATGATAATTTATCCTAAATAATACAAATACATTTATAGAGATAGTATATAAATATATAATTTTATTCACCTGAAAAATTGAGGAAACTTGAAAGGTTTGTGAGCACAATTAAGTGCACTGCATGCCATATTATCTGATAATTGTAGAAAAAAATCCCAAAAGGCAGCTGACTGTGTAAAGCTGAATAAAACAAAAGAATACGATGAATATGTAGATATCGGTGGCTATCGGCTGGAATGACATGACGGTGACCAGCGAGACTTAGCTGTCACTCAAGAGGCCACGCCTATAATTATGCTTCAATTATAACTGAATAAAAACAAAATGCATGAGTTATAAAAAAAATTTCACCCCTCACAGTTGTCATAAAGGGTAATATTAGCTATATACACTAAACCATTTTTGTATCACGCTGTAAAATTGGTCAATTTACAATTGCAGTCAGTGAACATCTGGATTTCCTGAAGCCAGCCTCCAAAGGCGAGTTGATGAATTGCAGTTTCAGTTACTTCTATATTGGCTTTAGGAGGGAGAATGAGACGTTGGTGCTTGGTGTAGATATTAATAATTATGATGGTTGGGTTTAGGGTTGTTGTAGGTATAGACGTTAATAACTGTGATGGTTGGGTTTAGGTGTGGCGTAGGTGTAGGTTTTTTAATTTTTTTTATTCTTTGTATCTCTGAATGTCTCTGTATCAGTGAACAATTTTAATTATTTTTTTTACTTTATCAAAAGCATAGCCGTATAAACATTTGATACATTTTCATTACTATTGATTTTTGTATTTTATATTTCATATTTTTTTATATTAACCACACCAAATTTGGAGCCTCAAACTCTCTAGCGCCACCACCGAAATGCTAATAACTTGAACTTGAACATTTGAACTTTGAACTATAAGTTCTTTACCACAACTACAGCAAATATAGTATGTAATAAAAATCCCTAAACAGTAAACAAACAGACATAGTACGAGAGATAAACTACTTTAATAACTAAAAAGAAAAACACAACAGATGTTTTCCCAGAAACCCTTTGCTTCACCCT